ACTCGGAGTGCCAGACGAGAGAGTCGACACGCGCGTTGCCCGTGGCGAGCTCATAGAGGCACCGTCCGGAGGCGCGGAGATCCCACAGCTTGATTGCCGCGTCGGGGGAGGAGGAGAAGACAAAGGGCCAGCCGCCGCCCCCGCCCGCCACGAGTGCGACCGCCGCAATCCCCTCCGTCCGGCTGTCCTCGAGCCCGAGCAAGGTGTGCGTTGGCCGCCGGGCGCGCACGTCCCAGATCTTCACGGTGCCGTCGGAGCAGCCAGAGGCAAGGGTTCCGGCCAGCTCCGGGGCGGAGGAGAGGGCGTTTACCTGCCGTATGTACCCGCCCGGGGCGGGGACGTGACCGAAGAGGCGGCTGGTCCGGCCGGCGGCCACGTCGAAGACCGCGATGACCTCTGCGTTGAGGGTGCCGTCGCCCCGGCTTCGCCCGTTGGCCGCCAGGGCGAGCTTGCCGTCACCCACGTCGCAGATCGCCGAGAAGGAGTTGGCGTGCTCGCCGGCCTCAACGGTCCTCGTGGCGTGGGGCGCCTCGCCTCTGGTCACGTCCACCTTCCCCTCCACCTCCTCGAGCCAGCACACGCCCTCCGCGTCGGAGAAGCTCAAGACGTCGGCCTCCTCCGATCCCTCGAGCACCTGAAGAGTGAGGACGCGCTCTCTCCATGGCCCCTCGCCACGGTACTGCCGCACGCCGCCAGTGCGCGCGTCCAGGCTTGCCGTGTTCCAAAAGGCGAGCTTGCCGGCCCCGCCCGGCGCGACGAGCACCCTCGCGCCATGGTGGGCGGCGACCGCCAGCGCGTCGGTCGAGGGGCTGTCCAAGGTGTAGCAGCACCGGCCCTCCGCATCGAAGGCCTTGAACCGGCGGCCGCACGCCTCGCCAAGCCACGTCAGGCCTGAGTGCGGGTCAACGGCCGCAGAGCGCACCGACGACGAGAAGAGCGTCTTCACGGCCGCCGGGTCGGACGCTGTGTACGACTCCTCCACCTCAAAGTATTGCGTCATTTGCTCGAGCACGCTCCCGGACGCGCTCCCGCTCAGGGCGGAGGCGCACGCTTCGAGGGATGCAGGCTCGGCCGCCCCGACAAGGGCCGCCGCCGCGCACTCGGCGAGAGAACGCGGCTCGATCGCCTTGGGCGCGAACCGCTTAGCCCACGGCTCGCGATGCTTGTACCCGGTTGCGCCAGCCAGAACGAGGGCAGGTCCGGCGGCGGCGAGGCAGCGGACGTCGCCGTGCAAGAAGTCGGACGAGACCTCGCATCGCGCCTCGCCGAGCAGGCGTGCGAGCGCGGGCACTTCACTCTGCCCCGCCAGCGGGTCCTCAGTCGCGGCTGCGTCGAACCGCGAGAGCAGCGTCGAGGCCTCGGGGCGCGAAGGCAACGCTGTGGGCGCGCGTGCCGCGCTATTTTCGCTCTCGCGCTGCATCTGCGACGAGATCCGCTCACGCATCTCCTCCTCAGTAACATGATCGCCGTTGGCAGCCGCCAGCCCAAGCATCATCTGGATCAGAGATGGATGCTCCAGGCAAGAGAGCGAGCTGCTCTCAGGGTAGCCCAAGCTGCTCTTGACGAGCATGGAGCCGTCGGCCAGGCGGCCGTCCAGCCCCCGCGTCATTAGCGCGTCGTGCGCCTCCTTGCCTTCCCGTTCGGCTCGGCTTACGGTACGGCGCATCGCACTACTCCACAGCTGGAGCTCATTGGGGCCGGTGTCGCCCTGCAGGTGCGCGAAGATCTCACAGAGAGTCTTGGGCTTGGGCTTGCCCGTCGCAGGCGGATCGGCCGCGTCCTCGCCGTATGCATACGTGGCCGTGACGCTGTCGGCTGCGCCGCGCCGCTTTCGTGCGCGCTTCGGTGGCATCTCGCTGTCTGCCTCGGAGGGCTGTCGGCGCGCGGGCCGCTCGGCCACAGGTGTTGCTGCTACACCGACGACTCTCCCGCCGAAAGCTCCCGCCGAAAAGGACCCGCGTACGCGGGTCTGTGCAGCTGTGAACAGCAGCTCCTGTACGCCAACTCAGGGTGTGTGGCAGCCAGCTGGCTGTGTGTCTTGTGAGCTTGTTTGTGTCTGTGTGTCGCTCGTGCGTGTCGTCATCATCTGTCCCGCGTCCACCCATACCGCGTTGGTGTCCAGTCCGAGCCTGACTGTTGTTCATCTTTCTACATACATAGCTCCTGAGCACGGCGCCGCAGGCGCCTGTTGATAGGTCCAGGTGATAGCCCTGGATGGGCAATGCATACGCCTAGTTGGGCCTCAGATCGCCCGACCGCGTCCCGGTGCTCTGTGGTCGGATTTGTGACGCCGCCGCACCGACCGCGCTGCCACCCAACCATCACCCACCGGTCCTATTTGGTCTCAGCCCCACCCGTTCTATATTATAGAATGGCATCCTATAATATAGAATGGCGTCTCGCGCGCGCTCACCCGGCCGCCTCTCATCCCCAGCGGCCGGGGGGCGCTTGCCGGGGTGCGCAAGTGGCGATGAGCGAGGGCTTTGCGTGCAACGCGCTGACCGGAGCTGGACTTGCTCGAGTTTTAGCAAAACGGCCCCAGACCCTTCCCATCCCCTCCACCGCTGAGAAGGCGCAGATCGACCGCCGGGCCGCGTAGTCGTCGTTAAAGGCCTAGGTGGCCCCTCATCAATCCACCCCGAAAAATGGGGTCGTCGGTCCAGCGCAGCCCCTTGGTCAACTCAGGGTCCACACCCCGTACGACAGCGCCTCGCTGCTGGGCTTGGGCAGCTGCCTTTTCTGGGGGCGATGTCAGAGTAAAGTGTGTGCCGGAACAAAGACACGGCTTGGGCCCGGTTTCTTTGCCCGCGGCCCGCTCCTCTGTTTTCCTTTTAATAGACACTCTGCGGAACGTTGGGCACCGCACGCGGTCCTCTCGAGCTCTCCCTGTCCCTTTGACATGCGCGAGGCCGCGGGCAACACATGGCGGGATGCTTGGGAGAGGCGCGAGGGATTGTGTTGTTGCGCCCCCCCCCCCCCCCCTTCGCCTCGGAGGGGAGAGAAAGGAGAGCCCGAGACGAGGAGGCGGCCGAGAGGGCGGAAGCGCTGAATAACCTGGAGAGGCCCTTCAAGAGCAGTAGAGCGGCTCTACGCGACGGTCCACGTCTTGATGCACGCGTCGAGGCCGGCCGAGGCGAGGACGGCGCCGTCGCCGACAAACGCGAGCGCCGACACGCCGCCCGCGTGCGTGGTGGAGCCGTGCAGCTTGTGCTTCGGCGGAGGCTTGAACGGGCCGGCGGGGAGGTCTCCCCACACGATGATCGAGCCGTCGACGCCGCCCGAGGCGAGGACGCCCGCGGCCGAGAAGGTCAGGCAGGTGATGCGGGTGGGGTGGAAGCCCTGCAGCCCCCAGCTGAGTGGCGTGCCGGCGCCCACGTCCCAGATGACGATCTCCTTGTTGGCGCACCCCGAGGCCAGCCGCTTGCTGCCTGGCGCGTAGGCGAGGCAGGAGATGGCGGCGATGTGCTTGTCCAGCACCTTCTCCTCGCCGCCGGCCGCGGTGAGCAGGCGGA